AGCTATATAGATCATCTTACATACATGGTGAATCAATCCCCATCCCAAACAAGAACAGACCAAAAGGAGAAGGAAAAAAAAGGAAATGATCAACGAATGGCACACGGCCATATAGTCGTCCAAAAGCAAGACTAACTCCGAATAGAAGACCGAATCAGGTAAAGATATGCTGGCGCAATTAGAGCTTCGCCAATCGGCGCTCGAGCACTTGACGTGCGATATAAGCCACTAATCATAGATATGTAAGTAAATGCTCGTACATCGTCTGAACGTTAAGCAAAACATTATGTGTAGAACATTAAGCAATATTATCAATAGATATTATGTTTAGTGTATATGTAAATTACGTATCCAGGGTATCGGGGTATCCAATTAACGTGGAAGCGACGTGCGGGATAATTCACTCTCGGTCTGAAGGGGATGCGGAGGTAAGAAGTCTGGCATATCAAACAACGATACGCAGTGGATAGAGCGGGTGTAGCAGAAAAACGACAGTTGACGATAGTAAAAGAATCACTCACCAGCAGCAACAACAGTGGCACGAGCAGCACCAGACTTGGCACTGCCACCACCAAGAGTCAAAAAGTATCTGAGCCAGCTCAGCTGGACCTTCTTGCAGTCGCGGTCAAAGTCGGGAATCAAAGTAGTAGCCTTCTTGAAAAGCTCCTCCTTGCCGTTGTAGGGCGGGTAGCGGATGGCGAGGAAGCTTTCGATCCAGCTAGGGCTAGTGGTGATTGTGCGACGGTGCACAAAGACATCGAAACTGGCCTTACCCCGGTAAGCACCCTGACCGCTCTCGCCAACACCACCGAAGGGGAGGGTGGGGATGTGCAGGGCGGCGTCGTTGACGGCAACACCGCCGGAGCGGGTCTGTGACAGGACTGCAGCACGTTAGTATTTCAAGTTGTACGGTATAATGTCCAGAAACATACTCTTCTCAACTTCAGCCTTGGAACCGAACGGGTAGAGTCCCAGAGGCGTGGACTGGACGCCGTTGGCGATCTGGACAGCCTGCTCGACGCTGTCAACAGGCAGGATAGGAATGAGAGGACCAAAGCTCTCTTGTGTGATCATGGAGTCTTCTGGCGAGTCAACCACAACAACGGTGGGTTCGATGAAGCGCTCCTTTTCGTCCATGCTGCCACCCATGACAATCTTGCCCTTGGTGTTGTCAATCATGCCCTTAATACGGTGGAAAGAAGCATCGTCAATGATATGGGAGAAGTCCGCAGAGCCCTTGGCACCCTGGGGGTAGAACTCCTTGTAAACCTTTTTGAACTCCTCCACGACAGCATCGACAAGCGGCCTCTCGACCAACAGGTAGTTCTGGGACGTGCAGAGCTGACCAGCGTTCATCAGCTTAGGCCAGAATAGTCTGCGCGCGACCAGTCGGGGGTCGGCATTCTTGGAGATGATGGCGGGGTTGATGCCACCCAGCTCCAGAACAATAGGGGTGAGGTTAGGAGCCGCTGCCTTAGCGATGATGCGACCGACATTAGCACTGCCGGTGAAGAAGATCTTGTCCCAGCGTTCGGCCAACAAGGCCTGAGTCTCGGGGATAGCACCCTGAACGATGGTGTAGGCGGAGGGGTCAAGAGCAGCCTCAATAATCTGCTGGATGACCACCGCACAGTTGGAGGACTTTTCACTAGGCTTGATGACAACGGTGTTACCCGCCGCGATAGCGCCAATAACTGGACCCAGCGTCAACTGGAAAGGGTAGTTGAAAGCACTGACCCCATAACGGTCGCCGTTAGCCTTGTCTCAAACCCCAACCAAAACAAAATAGGGGGAGGGGAGAAATTTTTGTTGAAAATCCCACAGAAATGAAAAACGAAAAGGAAAAACATACCCAATAACCAAGACGCAACCCAAAGGATCCTTGCGGATCTTGGGACTGGTAAACTTAAAGGTGAGGTCGATATCTTCGGCCTTCTCATCCTTGACCCATTTGGGGAGATTGCGGCAAACGAAGACAATGTCATTAAGCAGCCAGGTACTCTCAGCCATGACGGCCTCAAAAAGAGGCCGGTTCAGATCGAGACGCAAAGCCTCATGGATCTCGTCGACACGATCCTTGATGCTATTGCGTGCAGTAGACTAATTAGCTACATATTAAAGCCATGCGGGGAGCTACCCGAAAGGTAGTGAAATAAGGTACTTTGGGACAGCAACTCACGCCCAGTAAAGCTTCCGGAGCTGGACCAGCCGGTACTCCACATCGCGAGTGGTGTGTTCATGGAAGGTCTTGCGGCAGCGAGAGACGCGTTCAGCGACCTCGTCAACAGGAGTATACTCCAAAGGAGGGATTTCAATGGCACCCATGGTGAGTAAATTAAAGTGGTGGAGAGAGAGGGGGGAAGGGATGAAGATGACAGGAGGGAGGGAGGGAATAATGGGAACAGGAGGAGAGGAACGAAGGATCAAAAAAGGCGGAAGTTCAGCCGGGAAGACTAGTAGATTAAGAAGGAATCCGAATGCGGAGCTCTTGTTTCTGACAAGCCCCTGATTCTTCAGAAACACGAGTGCCCTTATCTACTCCTATGAGTAATGAGTAATGGAATACGAAGAAACAACTGGGAAGTGAGGATGTTCGTCAGGCCAGATAATATAATGCGCAGCAGCCCAGCATTCCGCCGACCGAGGACCGGGTGGATTGGTGATCAGCAAATTCACCGAGCCGTTCATTTTTAGGGGCAGAAAAACCCCCCATGCATTCTCCGTCCATCATCCATTTCCGGGCACATGCCCTCCTTTTTTCCCCTCATCTGTTCCGCGGCACAACCGAGGACTTTTCCACTCGCAAGGTCTGCTTTTTACGAACGGAGAACCGTTGTTGGCCACTGCTCACATGTTACTAACTTATCCTTAACTAACAAATGACAGCTACGGGTTGAGTCATGCACGCGACCCACTTGCCTCGCAAGGGGTTCTGTTTGCGGATAGCTTAGGAGCTTATTTCCCCCTTGCTCATCACCCTCATCAACTTAATGTCAACGAACTATCACATTGTGGTATATACGATGATAAATCAAAAGCTAGCTCACGGGAACAATGGAGACAATGAACAATATAGAAAACAAAAGCAAATATGCAGATCTGCAGTCAGCCACCAACTCACCCCTCCATCATCAGTGCTTGAACTGATCCTCCGTGACACCCTTGCCCATAGCCGCCGTACTGCTGATGCCGCCCGTCACCATCTTCAACATATTATCCACGTAGTTGGCACCACTCCATTTCTGGTGAGTCACCACATCCACTCCCTGCTCCATCTCCGGTTCTTGCACCAACTCGCCGTACGCCCGCATTCCCTGCTTCGCGTACGCCTTGGCGAACTGATCCGTGATCAGCGCCGTCGTGTGCAGACCCGCCAGGGTGATGAACTGCCAGCAGTATCCCAGGGCTCCCAGACGCTTGATGTACGTCTCCTGCTCATCGCGCGGCATCGCCTTCTTCCAGTTGAACGAGGGCGACAGGTTGTACGCCAGCCTAAAGCGACAGGTTAGTGTCAAAGTCTACACTGAGGCAGATTAGGACAGCACTTACTTCTGCTCGGGCCACACGGCGTGCACGCCGTCGGCAAACTCCTTCGCCTGAGCATAGTCGGGCAGCTTGCTCTCCATCCAGATGAGATCCGCGAAAGGTCCATATGCAATGGCGCGGTTCACCGCACACTGGGTACCTCCCTGGTACCGGTAGAAGCCCTCCCGGGTGCGAGGGGCGTCCCAGTCCCAGTAGATGTCGACTCCAGTGATGTCCTTGGCGATAGCCCGGGCTTCGCGGTTGCTCTTGCCCTTGGCCTTCGTCAGGAACTCATCAATGAGGGCCTTCTTGTTACCAGAGGAGCCCTTGTTGATGGTGTCGATGACAGCTTCGCTGAACAGCTTCAGGCCAGCCTGGGCAGTCCACTGGTCTTCAATGGCCTGCAGCTCGTTTCCGTTCTTACCAGCCTGCTCCGCAGCCACCATGAGGTCGTTGAGGGGTTGGAGGTTAGGGTTCGTCGATCCCACGACGAAGGCGTGGTCACGGTAATCGATTGTGGAGGTAATGAGAGTGGCAGCTTCGGAGTCGGTTCGAGCAATGGCGAGCAGGTCGGTGCCTGGATAAAGTCAGTCGAATCTATGCGGATGAGTAAATCATGATGCTACTCACCCATGATATCCGCCTGCGCACGGATAGCCACCAGACGGTTGATGTGTTCGCTGATAGGCACAAGCACCTTTCCGGCCATGTGGCCGCACTTCTTGGTACCCGGAGCCTGATCTTCAATGTGAATACCAGCAGCACCGCGCTCAACGAACAGCTTGGTCAGCTTCATCACAGCCGTCAAGCCACCATGTCCGGTATCAGCATCCGCAATGATGGGGCGCAGGTAGTCCACATTTGCCACCTTGCCACGCTGCTCCTTGGGGGTGGTGATGCGTTCCTCGCGCTGTTTCCGGTCATGGAACAGCTGAGCCAAGAACAGCTGGTTGACCTTGTTGGGGACGGTGTTCTAACTCGAGTCTTAGCAGTGATCTCACAATTACCAACATCCTCTGAGACCTACCATGGGGTAGTCGGCAAGATCGGGAGAGGGTTCATCGGTGGACGAGGCGGTGGAGGAGCTCTGCCATCCAGAGACGTAGACGGTGTCGAGGTATTTGGCCATTTGGGTGAGCATTGTGGGCTCGAGACAGCCATAGGTGAAGCTAGGTACTTTGTTCTGCGGAAGAGAGAGGTAAGCTCATGATTGACCTAACCACCACCACACAGCAGGGACATGCGAACCTCGAAATTGCTCTCCAAGATCTTCCACAGCTTCTTGCTCATAGCATTGGAAGGATACTCAATCTTCAGGGTACCACGCTTGGCCACAATCTGCTCAGCAGTAAAAGGGCGCTTGGTGTGTCTCCATCTGGAGTCCTGCCACCACTTCTGGACGGCCTGGACATCGTCCAGATACTTCCGGTCTTCTTCTTCAAAGGAAGCCATGATGATGTGTGGTATAGCCGAAAAGGGGGGGGGGGGGGTAGTATAAGCAAAGATCTAAATTGATGCAAATGGATATAGTATAATACAATGTATCCAACAATGTTCACATACAACCGACAAGAAAGACAAGAGAGGAGAGAGTAGAGGGAAGAGAGAGAGAAAGAGAAGAAAAGGATACAGTCAAATAAAGTCAACCACCAAAGAAGAAAACCGGAATCACAAGCCAAAGAGGAAAACACCCAGCTACTTAAAGCATGCGCCATAAATTCCCTCGATGCGTCACAAGTCATTGGGCCACCCAGCAATCAGCACAAGGTTGGTCGGTAAACATTCGGTTCAGCGGGACAAGAAGGAAAGAATGGCCAAGGGCCAAGGGGACAGTCAGCTTTGCCGCCCCCGGAGTATCTAATTTTCTTGCAACAAAATAAAACCGGGGGTGAGTCGAAAACAATTAGGTTGAACCAAGGGTTTCACAAGCCAAGTTTAGTGGAGGAGGCAGTCTCAGTAGTGAGTGAGTGGTTTTGGCTGGTTCGGAAGAGAGGATCGAGACCAGACGAAGATCCTCGGTCTAAAGGGACCAAGCCGAAAACAGGTCGCCACTCTGCAGTAGTTGGAATCAATTGTATGCAATAATTCTACTTTCTAGATTACTATTTTATTTTATTTCTTACGAGAATTAACTTGAATTGTTCTCATCTCAACTCCGACTACATAGACAGAACAAACCCTCTCCAACAAGCAGCTACATCGCATATAATTCAAATATCATAGTAAACTACCTAGCTACTTACCCCACGAAACAACCTCCCATAACCCCCCATAGTAACATAACAACATAAGTAAATGACGTTTGTCCACCTCCAGGCATAACTAAGTATGGAAGTAAGCATGTGCTCCGACTCTACCCATTTACAATACCATACCACTCCCGTCCCCCCAACCCTCCACCCCCATAGGTCCAATATCTATGATTCTACTTCCCCACTCCCGTATCCATACCCCTCAGGCATCAATACAACACGGGGAAGAAAATCAGCCTCGGCATCCCGCCACCCAATCAGCTGTCCATCTCATAGCCGATCCACGATCATAGAGTAACTGTCCCTTCCGTATAGTCTTCTTCATAGCCTTGAGGGGCCACGCAAGGTCGGGAAGTTAAGGAGATGGCGTTCCGAGTATTCTACAATCTCGTACTTGTTTGTTGTATGTGGAGGATTTCGGACGATGGCCGAGAATATTCATCGGTAGTTCATAAATGGATGGGGGTAATGTAACTGAGGGAGGAGTGCGTGGGTGTGTTTCGGAGATGGGGTGTTCTTGTGTTTTTGTCTACAGGGATAGTAGTATTACTACCTATAAGATGAGTGTGTGCAGATCTACTCCGTATACAAAGGTGCACTGCTATCTACTGGGGTGACTGGTTGGGTGGTAAGTTAGTATTCGGAGATTCTGGGGGCTGATGCATGGAGCTTTCAGCTGGGCTGGGGGTTGGGGGTTTCGGGGCTGCGTGGTCGTGTGTCAATTACTAGGACTACCACCTACGGTGTGAGCTTGGGGAAATGGATGGATGGATAAATTGGGAGGGATGGATGTCTGGGGGAAAAGAAAATAGCAGTATTGGGTTGTAGGTAGTTTAGAATGTATGTGTTTCATTCACATGTGAATTTGTCTGTGGGAGGTCATCCATCCATTCATTCATCTGACAGTCGTGATTTCTGACTCTGACTCAGACCAGACCCTGGATTGATCTCCGATCGTTGTTAGCTGCATCTGCTTACGGGGTAAAAGGAAAACCATCATTGTCATCCAAATCCGGAAGAATGCATTAACTACTACATACTATTTCTCGTTACTACCTAATCGTTTTATCGTGGACTTTGTGGCTGAAAACGCAAACCCGAACAATGAGCATCAAAAAGAACAATAACCCAAAAAAACAAACGCCACCTTCAAGAGGATTCGTCACTTCTACTCGAGATATGTCCACCTCGGAATAATAACAAGCTCCCTTCTCTCTCTCTTTGCATCAGCATAAATCAACTATTGAGTCAACTCAATCATAGCAGGCAATGCATCCTCTATAACCAAAAAGCCAAGATGTCCCCTCGTCCAACCCATTCTAAAGCTATGTAAACTGTGTCCGCATAACCCTTTTTCATTTTTGTGCTGAAAGTCGACAAGTGCCACGACGGGCGAAAACAAATAGCCGCGCTAAATGCAATCATGCTCTCTCCTTTCTTTGTCATCCTCGGATTCCAATTTTAGTAGTCTTGGACAGCCACCGCCTTGTTGTACGTTTCGTACGGCGTGATTGCGCCCAGGGCGCGTCGCTGATGGGCATTGAGTATTTCCAGTCCATACACGTAGCTGGCGTTGACCCATCCGAACCTAGAGAGATGACCGGGTTAGTGTTGCGTTCGCATGGTTATTACTCATCAGGGAGGGAACAACGCTTACCCTTCGCGGGGAGCCCCCTTGAAATCCACACCTTGGTTGCCGTACTCGGCATCCACTCGGTGTGGGTCAATAGGCCGGGTGACGTCGTACTTCTCGACCACCACGCCGTTGAAATCGACAAAGGCCTTGGTGATCATATACAGCCACTTGTATGCCAGGCGCTCGGCTTCCTCTTGGTAGCCATAGCGCATCAAACCTGTCCATGCCAGCATCTGCTGCGGTGCCCATCCGTACGGGTAATCCCATTGCCGGTTAGGCCGATCCAGGCCAACGGCACCCCGAGATTCTTCAGTTCCCGAGACCAGGCCTCCGTAGGCCTCGAACCGCTTGAGGGACTGCACCAACTGCGATGCTTGGTGGGGTGTCGCGAGACCAGCCCACATCGCCCAATAGGTGGTGGCACTCTCGTACGAGGTGCGCTCCTGCTTGGCAGTATCGTAGTCGAAATACATTCCCTTCTCCTCATCCCAGAGGTAAGTGTCCATACGCATCTTTCTTCTGCGTGCGCGACGGTCCCAGACCGAGGATGACTCGAATTGGATATCCTGGGTCGACGCTGTCCGGAATTCCTGCGGGATCTCGAGTTTGTCCTTGAAGTAGGTGCGGATGATGCGGGCAATGTCCACCTCGTACTTGTACAACAGTGAATTCAGATCGACGGTAGCCAGGTTGGCACAGACTCTCTCCAAACGGTAGCTGGTGTCATGTCCCGACTCTCGCACGGCCCTGTCGTGCAGGAAGTACTCGTCGAGCTCCGGCTCCAGGATCTTCCTTTCGTTGTAGGCCTCAACAAATTCTTCAAAGCTCATGCCGTGCTTCTCGGCATACGGAGTCAGAATATGAAGGAAATGAGTCGGCTCCGTCTCCGGAGGCACTCCTTCACCTTCAGGGCGATATCTGGAAAGACCAGAAACCGGATCATATCGCGGCTCGGCCGTCCAAACGCTATAGTACTCCTTGATTGCGGCAAGCGTCGCATTGCGAAGGAAATCCATTGCATCGGGCTCATTCTTGATCCGTTCATAGACACGCAAAGCCATGTCGGTCAAGAAAGGAGGCTGGGAACGCATGAGGTAGTACGAACGATTTGCGTTCAAGATCTTCCCGTAGTGCTTGATGCAGAAACAGAAGTTGATCACCATGCCTTTAGCCAGGTCGACTCTGTTGCTAACCAGCAGACCCAGAGACATCATATAGCTGTCCCAGTTATATAGCTCGTTGAACCTTCCTCCCGGGACCACGAAAGGAACTCCACTATACTCAGTCTTCCCCGTGGCTTCATCAACCTTCTTCTCCATGGCCAATGCCAGAAGACCGGGCTTATCATTCAGCCTCCTGGTATACTCCGGAGTAATATTCGAGTCCAACAACTGCACATCCAGGCGCAGCTCGGGATGCGCTTCCGCAATACCCTTGTAGTACTCAAGCTGCTCCGGGGCTCCCGGAGGGACGTAGACCCGGGGTCGTGGGTCGTCCGTCCAATCCTTGGGATCGCGACCAGCTTCAGCAATGTTATGTCCATCAATACGCCGTGTCAGGGCGTTCCAGAAGGAGTTCTTGATGAGACGAGAGAGCCGTGCGACAGGGTTCTCACTGAGACGGGCTTCATCGAGCACAATGTGTTTCCGACCGTAGTCCTGGGCGATTGTGAGCTCCTGAAGGAGATTGGAAAGCATGTATGTTCCTCGCAAGTCGAATCGGTTGTATCCCGAAGATGCAGCGGTTCCCACGGAGAATACCTGCAAGACAGTGCATTAGTGACTCGAAGTGGCCGTAATTTTTCGACATCCGACCACACATACCTTGGGGCCCACATCTTCTATCGTTATCTGCATGTTCCGATCTGTGTCTTCCCGCTCCAACAGACTGTGGAGCGTTGTGTCAACGTCAATGAGGAATTTGCGGGGAACGGCCGGCGTCTCATCTGTATACCCCGCGGGTTAGCCCACAATCCCTGGATAATTCGGAGAATTGATCTTTCGTTCTTTCATACGTACCATGACTCGCTCTTCTTGCGGGGAATTGGCCTCCGAGAAATTCTTGAATGTCATCCCGATTGAAAGATTTGAGAGTCTGTTCACAGGCGTGGGGTCAGCACAGCTGATTCTCAGCTTATCTTAGGGGAGCGGTAGAAACCGGACGTACCGAAGAGAATGCCCGCTTACGGTCTCTCATGCGAGCAATGTTATCCTCATCGCCATAGTAGACGTCGGGATCGGAGAATGGATCGAGAGACGTGTTGCGTCGATGCTGAGCACTTGGCGAGCTCATCGTCGGAAGATTGTGGGATGGTAGATAGAAGAGACGTTCGATGACAGGCCCGACAAACGAAAGGCTAGAGCGAAAACGGGGGATCCGAGCAGGGGTGGATGGATGGATGGGTTAAGGGGTGACACTGCGACACCAATTATTGAAGACGCTAGGCCCGTTCGTGGCGCTGTAACTCTTCTTGGACTCGAGACGGTACCCAAGAAAAAAAAAACTGAGGTTATGCTCTTCGTACCTCAGACAATCTCGCTAAAGCTGGGTAGGATGGTAGGACAAACAGTAGGGTATTGGGTAAGTAAGAGGATTGAGAGACAATGCAAGTACACGACAAAGGGAGTTTTTTGTGTAGGATGGATTGGCCACCAGCGGCGGTTCAGCTCCCGTGCGATTTGGGGGGGTACGTCACAACACCGGGTCTTCGGTTTGGCTGGTTCCTTTGAAGGTTTTTGTTTGTGTGCAATTCGGCGGTGTGTAACTCTCAATATATACTGGTTGAGATCGAAAACTTAAGGAAGAAAAAAAAGGAGAAGAAGTCTCAGTCTGTTGAATTTGTACTCTCCGCTAACAGGGGGGAATTTTGATTATCTATTATGATTATAATTGTTGTTTCTTGCCCGGATTGAGCGGCAGCACCCAACAGCATCCCATTGATGTAGAGAATGAAGTTCCCTTGGAGACTATGACGCCACGGGCCCGATGATGTCGCCGCTCCACTCAATTATTCCCCCCCTTCGGTATTTCCCTCGGCTGCCTCCGCCCTACTTGTGCTGCATTGAATGGACTCTGGAGATAAGTTGTTGGACAATTTAGGCCAAAAAAAAAAAGAATAAGGAGAAAATGTGAAGAAAAAGGAGTTATCCCAGAATAAAAAAAGCAATTACTGACAGATAACGAGTGGTCACGAGGACCAAACCAATAAAGCAAAAAATGAAGGAGGTCTGTGGGTCTCCGCGGCATCTGTTGGTCGAGCTCTTGACGTGGCACTCGATAGATATATCTCTAGTATGGAGCACACAGCAACAATGAAAGTGGGATGATCTTTCAGTCTATGTACATTCTAGATCTTCTTCGGTGTGGGACAGCCTGTACACACCCAAGACTCATTAACCTTTCACCTCCCCCGGCAAAGCAAGAAAGCCTGAAGAGAGTCGCCCAAACCCAAAAGACAAAGTTTTCCTGCTATCTGGTATGGGCTTTCTTCATCTTCATGTATCTGCTGTCCGTCGGATCCATACTGCGGATGCGTGGCAGGGAGATACTTGGTCGAGTTTCAACTTTATCATCCTCCACAAGGCGGTTGTTGGGGATGAGGATCGCGCGGTCGAGCTGATATGGCAGTCCACGGTGCCGTCCACGAATCATCATGGCACAGATGACTATCTTACTGAAGATATCGAACTGAGCGCTGAAGGAGGTGGAGGCGGTCGGGTATCCTAGACTTAGGCCGACGTTTCCGCTGTGCATACGTTAGGTACAACTACGCGCAGTAACCATGGCGTGGCTATACTCACTAGGCTGAGACGACTTCGAAAAATATCGCGAACACGGAGAATGCCTGTTGTCCAGGTCAGAGCGATGCTTCCAACGGTCAAGGAGGGTCACAAACCGGCTTCGTGGGGTCCATTATTTTCCCCGACTCTGCAATGCAGATGCACATGATTCCAAGGAAAATATACCACAAATCGAAGCTGAGTTGGTTTCGCATGTGCATTAAGACGTATCTCTTGCCGTCACCTTCGTCCATATCGGTTTCTGATGAAAATACCCCAATTGATTTTTCTTCATAGATGTTGGAGGCTCGTACACTGATAGCGATAGGGAACACCGAAATGTACATCATGACGAGTAAGCTGAATTGGACTGCCGGGTTCACGTCGGCAAGATTGAACGATGCTGTCCCCGTGTGCCGTGAAGATGCTGACTGAAAGATAGCTGCCGCCACACGAGGTCCGCCAGGTAGATCATTCACCGCAGGGTTGTCGAGATCAAGAACCATAATCAAGAGGACATCAACAAAATTCAACACAAAAATTATCCCGAAAAGGATCCATGTTGGCTTGCTGCGGAAGAGGAGCAAGTAGCACCGACGAGGGTACTTCAGCAAGAACTCCAGGGGCTCCTTAAGAGAAGAGCTCTCAGGGATACACTTGGACATGCCCCAGATGAGAAGTCGGAGGCAGCAAGGATATAAAGTGTTTCCAGCGTAAGCGAGAAAACTCATGAATAGCATAGGAAACACGGCATCATTGAATGATATCATGGAATCCGGAGTAAGTGTAAGTCCCAGGTTGCTAGTCATTGTCTGAGCCGAATAAATCGCCCTATACATATTAGACTATACAGATTGCCTGTAAGATTCATATATACCAGGACTTACCACCAGACTTCATTTTGACCGCATTCGTCGAGGTAGTCCCTATACTTGCGATTCGAATGCAAGATCCAAGGGACAAGACACACCACACCAATCACATGAAGCCCAACAAAATAACCTTTTGATGATAGATGAGCCCGCTGAACACAGAAGAGGGAACGAAGCTGTATATACGCACCGATCACAATTTTGAGGAGTAGTTTCAGGCTCCGGTACTCGATGCCACCAAGTCGCTCTCGGTCTGCAGCAGTCAGGTTGTGGAATTGCGAGTTCCTTCCAAGTGTTGCTTGTACGGAGAGCTCCGGCAGGTTTGCGTCTTTGGAGAGAGATATGGCCGGCCGCAGAGATGGCTCTCGGGCTCTGCTAGGTTGTTTCCCGATCACGAACAAAGACGATGCTACCCGCTCGAATGGTAAGCCACCGGTAGCGCTTCTACCATTCTCAGACAGGTCATCCGTATTTTCAGAGTTTCTCCGCTCAGTTTCGGCGTCCTCATCTTCCTCTTCGATGACTACCCGGTGTCAGACTGAGTGATTGCAACAGAGCTTGTAGTTAGGCTTACCGTCCTCACCCGGTCCTCGTTGGACTTCTGCTATCGGCACCCCTATTTCCTATGAGCTATTGCCTGGCCGTCAACGCGCCATGAAATTTAAGGTACCTCTGTCACGCTCTTGTGGTGAAGGGATGTAGAGCGCCTTGGTAGTGTCCGCAAAGGAGATACTCCGCGATAAACCAGCTGGCTGTGGATCTGAGCTGTCGTTTTCAGGTCGTACTCTTCCAGTGCTTCTAGGCCTATATGGCGATTAGAAATGCGATTCATAGCGACATCAAGTATCGGGCCACGTTCTCACCTTTCGGGTACCACATGACCAATTTTCGAGCCAACAAAGCGCTGGCCATCGTCGACATCCTTCTCTGTTGAGTCACCTGGTACGTTTTCTGACGTAGTAGGCTCACTCTGCCTCTGGGGATGCGCTTCAGGATCATAGCGAGCGGAATCATAGTTCGATGGGTTACTCTTTCGATCAAGGACACCAGGTGCTGTTGAAGTTCATCGCATCAGCGAGGATAAACATCGAGCAACCTAGCACTAGCTCGTGAAAGTACCTACCAATTTCTTTGAGGCGTTTCTCGAACCATAGCAAGCGGACAACCACCACCAGAATATTGATGAATCCGAGGTTCGAGACGATTGGAACAAAGTAGACGAAGAGTTGCTGGTAGAGCTTCAAGTCCTTAACGTCGACTCTAAAAATAATATCCACGTCAGACTATGCTCCTATGAGTCGACGGTAAGTAGCACGAATAAAGAAATGATCGACTAACGTGTTCAGCCCTGACTCGGTCGAAGAGCTTACACCGAAGAAGTATGCATCGATGGCGCGGAGATTGCCGTAGGGGTAAAGAACGACCAATCCCAAAAGACCCAGAAAAAGAATGTATGCATCTGTGCAGATAGATGAGCTATTTGTGCCACCAGTATTGCAATGATAGTCAACGCACAATGTAGAGTGATAAAATTAGCCTGCAGCTTCCACATACTGCGTCGCGGCAGGTATGCTCATAGATCGGGAACAAAACGATTCCGGCGCGGTAAGGGACAAGCCAATCACGAATACCAACACGCAATGACTGAAGAGACGAAACTAGAAAAGATTAGTTTACCCAAATTCGACAGCAATCTCAGACTCTTTACCGGGACTAGGATCTTGGGAGAGCCCGCTGTGAGATCTTTATTCTGTGCCAATAGAGCCCCGCGCTGATAGAGTGAGCGATTTGTCCGGACCAATACCGTTCCAGAAAATCACGACCCCACGCGATCGGTCACCAGAGCTTAGATGGAGGCTGTATAGATGCACCTTTGCGATATAGGAGGGAATTTTCTTAGCCAACGGTTCTAGTGCACACTAGAAATGGTGGCTGACGGCGAGTGAAGATCGCCGCAGCAACCTTCGGCGTGGAAAATGCAGAACATCAGGTTGCTTTTTCGATGTGCGCTGACTGGAGTAGACGATCCCTGGAGATGATATTGAGATTTTCAGAAGGCAAGGTAGGCAAACGCCAACCATTCGCAAATACTAGTGGAAGGTTTGTTGAGGGAGTGAATCCCTTCAGCCATGTTTCTCCCAATGATGAGAGTTAACCGCTCAGCATGACATCCTCCTTTGTCATATGCCAACCATGGGATGATGTCAAGCTCGTTGTTCAGCCTCCAGTCGTATTGCCTTCTTCATGGTAGGGGAGACAAGATGGGTGGCTTGGACTAAGTTTTGAACATTATAATTTGCATGACTTGGACACGGACTGCCAGGTCTACCGCGGATCAAAAAGTTTAAAATGAAACAATCCATTAGTTGGGTTGGACCTTCTGTATGTAGGCTTAGATCAACTCTGCATTGCATACGCATACATGAATTACCCCGAACATCCGTTCCATCTTGCTTACAGCTTACAGTTCAGAGCTTCGCTGCGATTACGCTACCGCCGTCCAGAGTAATAGTCGCTCCATTCACATACGAGCCGGCGCGGCTGCTCAAGAACAAGCACGCACCTGCAACATCCTCCGGGGTACCAATACGACCCAAAGGAATACTTGCCTCGATGGTCTCCCGATGCGCTTCCAAGGTGGCAGCCATCATCTTGCTCTCGAATGGGCCACAGGCCAAGGAATTTGATCTGCGGGTAGTGCCGGGTCAGCCCAAGCGCCGTCGATAAGCGATCATATGGGAGTTACACGTACGTGATGTTCCGTCTTCCAAGGTGGTGTGCCAAGACACGACTCAAATGGTGCAAGCCAGCTTTACTGGCACTGTAGGCAAAGGTTTCCAGAGCCGGAACCCTTATGCCATCAACGCTACCGATGTTGATAATGCGAGCCGGGTCGCCAGATGAGCCGGCTTTCTCCAGTAGAGGGGTGAGAAGCTTGGTAAGGTCGAACACACGATGAAGATTGAGAGTGAGAACTCGTGTCCATGCAGACGAAGGGTATTCATCATACGGGGCACCCCAGTTGGAACCCGAGTTGTTGACAAGAACGTGCAGCTCTAGGAATGTGTTAAGCTAGAGTACTTGGCACACCCCTCTCCCCAAGGAGCAGCACTCTAGGGGCTAGACTTACTACTCTCACGCTTAGCAATTTCTTCAGCCAATCTCTTGACTTCCTCTTCTTTATAGAAGTCGGCAGGGATAGCAGAGGCCTTGCCCGTGCCAAGTGCATTGAGCTCGTTTACAGCTTTATCGCAAGACTTGGCGTCTCGCGACGAGATATAGACAGTGGCGCCATTCTTTACGAAGCCTTCTGAGATCATCCGACCGATTCCTTTGGCGCCACCAGTGACCAGCACGACTTTGCCCTAATCGCATGGTTAGATCTTCAGCTCAGCTGTACAGGCTGAGGCCTCTACTCTGCATCTCCGCAGTACGCACCTTGACGTTGAACAACTGCTGAACGTCCATGATGATGGTCTGTGTGGTAAATATCGTACTTGAAAGTCAGGGAAGTTCAGATAAGTCAGTTTAATAGAAGGATGACCGATTGCAAGAAACTCAGTCAGCCGCACGTGTGAGGTCTGGACAGAGACGCTGATCTACCCCTTATAGATATTACCTTTACCGCCTGAGGGTCCGCCCGGGGATAATGGGGATACCCGAACAACCGGGGATCACTTTACAGTGTCACAAAAGATACCGAGGCTGGGCGGAACGGAAGAACAATGTTGCAGTGCTTCTGGAGTGATTAGTAGTGGCTTGCATGACATGTCAGTGGCAAGAGCCAGCAGGAGTTCAGTCAGTACGAAGTACAGTAATCATAAAGCTGGTAGAGACACCTGAGGCAACTCTCATCATTGCCGGTATCTTATCTCCTCTCGATGGTCGTTCAAAGTAGCCGATGAGCGACCAGGGGATTTGATGCCTTAGGCATCAACATCGAAGGGCCCGATCGGGTGATCCAGAAAAAGTCACGACAGGCTTTGGCGGGGCTGAGCTTCATCCCACTCGTGCATGTCCAGCATTGAACTTCCTACTCTGCCAAGATACCCTTGATTTTATTTTTGCATAGCTGCCCTTCGCGATCATTCAACACTTTGATCCTCGACATTCTTCTAGAGTCATTCATAGAGTTTCAGTTGGACCAGCACATCCCCCGTTTCCCAGGATGGAGGAGCTACAAGCTAAACACCGCAAGGAACAAAAAGATCTCCAGGCTCGAATCACTCAGAAGAAGAAGTCCGCCACGAAGAAGACTCGCAAAGGAGTTAACGATGATTGCGAGAGGCTCCAAAGAGAGCTCTCTGAGCGGCAACAAGCTGAGATCGCGCAACTAAACGGCGAATCAGACCAGCCTGTGGATGGCATCGAAGACCTCAGTCTGAACGAATCCAGCGAAGGGGACCGAAACGCTGATGAGGCTGGTGACTCGCCCGATCAGCAAAATGCAGATACTCCGTCGGAGACAACGACATCGTCGCCTCAAAGCTCTACCCCCGCTACCCCGCAGCCCTCCGGTCCTCGTCCTAAGAAGCCCAATCGCCAGAAGGCCCGTTTAGCACGCCGTGCCGCGGAACAAGCAGCGCAATCGGCGATTGCTGCGGAGGAGGCTGCAAACCAGACCGATCATCGTGGAAATGAGAAAGAGGTCATGGAGGGCGTGTTCAAGCGCTTACAGTTGAAGGAGGTTGACATAAACCCGGATGGACACTGTCTGTTCTCTGCCATCGCATGCCAATTGGACGAGCAAGGCATCGGTCTGAAACCCGACCCGAAGAGGATGATTCTTCAGCCTCCGACTCAGTCTCGCATTGATACCGTGGCTTCGCCTAAGCATGACGGGTATCGGGCGGTTAGAGCTGTGGCGGCAGATTTCATCAGCGACCACCAGGACGACTTTGCACCATTCATGGAGGAGCCTTTGGATCAATATACCAGGAAAGTCAAACTGACAGCCGAGTGGGGCGGACAACTGGAATTGCAAGCGATCGCCAGGGCATATGGCGTCGAGATCAATGTCATCCAAGGAGATGGGAGAATCGAAAAGATCGAACCGGGCGATGTCGAAGAGCCAGGCGACGAAGAGGGAAGCAAGCGGGTTATCTGGTTGGCTTACTACAGACACACATACGGACTCGGGGAGCATTACAACGCACTCTCCAAACATACATAGAGAAGCGTATAAAACAAAAAACGTCAATCAAAGATTAAGCTATTGACAAATCAAGGCAGTGACTCCCATCCCGGCGATACTCTATCTACCGCGGATATGGCCTTACCGGCGGCGCCAGATCGATACTCGGTCTTGAACCTCCCCATTGGCATCCTTGCCCACCTCATGTGTTCGGGCAGGCTGCCAATAAGCCACACGTTCCAGTCCTCGCTCGCTTGGCTCACGGAGAGGGTCTCCTCTGCATCGACCCTGGGCGTCATAAGAGACCTGCTCTCCCGGGTGGCTGAGATGCTCCATGTAAGCCTCCGAGGAAAGACCAAACGGAGGGCCCGGGAGCGATGGGTCCTTGTGCCTTGGGTATTCCAAGCAGATCAAGTTCCCATGTGGCGAAGGTGCTAATAGCTGATTATGCCGGAGCGCCCAGTTAGGTCGCATGGACGGGCTCAACGCGCAAAAGAACTACACTCGAAATCAGTAATCGTTCATCTAGAGAAACACCCGTAGACCGTCGCCTCCTCTAGCGACATCATAAAACTCACCGTATAATCATAAATCAAATCAAAGGAATTCAACCCCAGTCCCAACCTCTCCAACCAATCATCCTTGAAGAAATCTCCCTGCACGAACACCACCTTTCCCCTACCAACCTCCTCATCTCTAACGGGATACTTAGCACTAGTAGTACTTTCCTTCTCCTCCCGCCTACACGCCTCAACCGCCGCAGCACTATACTCCAACCCATACGCATCATACCCGAAACTCGCCAGCAGAAGCACATCTACTCCCCTCCCACAGCCCGGGACTAGCGCTTTCTTGCGGTACTTCTTCCCCTGCGCGTCCGTGGCGATGGCATTGCCAATTGTACCTTGACGCTGCGTCAGGGTATCTTCTAAAGCTGGATTCGGGGCGCCCTTGTCCCAAGGAGGAGTGGGGTTCGCGTTCCAGACTTCGGCCCAGCCGTCGACGTATTTCTCGCCGGGGTATTTGGCGAGCGTGTTGTGGACGGATTGTTGGGCTGCTGTGAGGGTGGGTTGGTCGGTCATGGTGGATTGATGATGGGTGCTAGGTATGTAGATAGGTATTGGCACTAGGTAATTTGGAGGTACGGGGTAAGTAGGTGGTGAGTTATGTTCTCATTCTGGTTGGGTTCGTATTCTGGAACTGTCTATGAGGTTGGTTGGCTCTGGCTCGGACGTGGGGCAAGTGAGTGAGCCGGCGGGTCGTGCTGGAGTGTATCCACTGGACTGGAGGGAGGGGTTTGTCGTCCATAGATAGCTGTTGCTTGGGGATAGACTTGGATGTAGCAGATGTACTGTCAATATGGATAGCTACGTTCATTGTACTGTTCAGTCTGCTTGAGTGACATCGTTGCTGCTTGGGGGTTTCCCGAAAGAGGGGGTTTTCCTAGATCGCATAGTAAAACCCTTTGACATGCCTGGTTTGCTGTCAGGAAGGACGGTCCATCGAGCGATAGTCAGAGCAACGTGGTTCTGAAGGAAGCGATCAATATCTGACCGCAAGAGAGGATATTGAGAAAGTACTGCGCTGGAATAGTGTCATGGGTGCTTTTCTTCTCCCCGACATGACGATCAATACCATATAGAGGAACCCGAGAGCCCTTATCAACGAGCAATCTAGCTCGATCACATCATTGATGTCAATTAACGTTTACTTACGGTAATACACTCGAGCCTCAAAGACTGAGTTCCTGTGATATCATGTACCATGTGCATTCGGAGGTATATACTGTTTCCCTTCCTGTTCCTCATATTATGAGTCCCCACTACCGAGCGGGACATTTAACGTCCGGCTATCTAGCGAGGCTTGACCTCGGCAAAGCACCGATTAGTGCCAAATCAGGGGCGGAAATGACCGCCATCGGATGGGACGGCACCAGTTGGTTGGTCTCTGACTGGCTGGCCCTGAATTTGGCTTTGCCCCCTAGAGTATGGAGGGAGGGTTAGATGCTGCTTGATTCATGGGCTTAGCACACTGACCGAGTACCTGGTCAGTAATTATGGAGTAAACTACACAAATGTCAGACAGTATTTTGCAACTAAAAGGGTTTGACTGCGGTATGCATACTGGCGCCTTGCGTGTGTAGCGGGGTACTATATGCTGCTTGTCAGTTTCAGCTAGATGATGTTATTCTCTCGGTTCTTGGGATAGAATCTCAGCTACCTAGACATACGTTCGTAGAATCAAGAAAGGAAGGTGTAGTGAAGAGATAAGAAACTGGGAAATCGAGCCTGCAGCCTGTGCAGGATCTACTATATCCTTTGTAAGCAAAATCGATCTATCAAGGAATCCTGGATTGTTGAGATCCAATGGCAGGTGCAACCAGAGCAAGTGGGGAAGGCACATACAGTTTTCTGCCCGATTAGGATGAACCAACCCCGGCTGATACAAACTAACTCATGAGCAAAGACGCACCCCAGTCTTCCTCCTCTTCTTTCTTACTCCAAACTTGATCTTTTCTAACTGTCTTATCTGGACCGACCAGCTCGTCTTCCACACTCTCTCACCATTATTCACTTTTATACTTACGACTTATTGACAGTCTATGATGATACTCAGCTCTTATATCTCGTCTTAACAGTCTGTCACTGGCCCCGCCGGCAAGGCTAGTTAGCGCATGCTACTTTCACTTTATTACATGCATGAATTTCTAATCTGTCCCGAGCTCTTAGTGTATCCCTTCTGAAACGAGCCCTATCGTGCTGCTTGGGCTGTTAGCCTCTCATATGGAAAAGCAGTACGGAAAGGAAGATGGCGACAGCAACAAATGGCATCCCTGATGCCGACTTGGTGCAGGTCTCCCCAGCTGGTCATACTCACCCTGAAGCAATACGATCTAATGATGAGATGATCGACGAGAAGCGCGACCCTGACTCCATATCTCAAGGCTCTGACGACTCTCCCGTGATAGAAGGCAAAGACGAGGAATCATATGTCCGCACTACCTTTCCAGATGAAGAGAAAGAAGGTCCGATAGTGGTACCTAGATTGAAACGAAGGGGACTTTTTGGTCAGCTCTCGTTGCTGGCTGAAGTTGAGAACCCCAAGGTATATCCGCGCAAGACGAAATGGTTTATCACATTCGTGGTAGCAGTGGCAGGAGCTGCAGCTCCAATGGGTAGCTCAATCTTCTTTCGTAAGTCAACCATCTCTCCAGTCGTGGCTCAATTTGGTCGTGTCCTTACGTGAATGCCAGCCTCCCTTTCCCAAGTATCAACGGAACTGGGAACCTCAACAACCATAACAAATTTATCAATTTCCCTATACATGCTTAGTATGTCGATCTTCCCACTGTGGTGGTCATCTTTTAGCGAAAGATTGGGACGACGAACGATATACCTCGTTTCCTTCAGCCTCTTCGTCGTTTTCAACTCTCTCTGCGCCATCTCTAGTTCAATAGCTATGCTTATTGTACTGCGAATGTTGAGTGGCGGTGCATCTGCATCAGTTCAAGCTGTTGGTGCTGGAACCATTGCGGACCTTTGGGACCCCCAAGAAAGGGGACGTGCTATGAATATCTTCTATCTCGGTCCGCTGTGTGGACCTCTGATAGCCCCAATTGTAGGAGGTGCTTTAGCTGAACGCTGGGGATGGCGAAGTACGCTTTGGTTTCTGGCCGCCTATGGAGGGCTCACCGTGGTTTTCATCTTTTTTGCCCTTCCAGAAACACTGGCAAACACGAAACTCCAGACACAGGAGGCGAATATCGAGCAAGAGGAAACTATTAGGCGTCAAGTGAGTCGAGTATCCTCTCGACAAGTCGTTCAGTTCACCACTAGGTGGTTGAAGGTCCTCAAGATGGTGTTTCTCGACCCTTTGAAAATCATTCTTTACCTGCGTTATCCTCCCGTTCTACTAACTGTATACTACGCAAGTATCACTTTTGGGTCTCTCTATGTGCTAAATGTCAGTGTTGAGCATACATTCAGCGCTAGCCCATATAACTTCAGTACAATCATCGTTGGCCTACTTTATATACCCAACTCGCTCGGATATGTTGTTGCTAGCACCTTCGGAGGCCGTTGGATGGATAGCATCATGCAACGGGAGGCAAAGAAAGCCAAAAGATACGACGAACATGGAAACTTGGTCTACCGTCCCGAAGACCGGATGCGTGAGAATGCCTGGCTTGGCGCCATGCTCTACCCTGCTGGACTGATCTGGTATGGATGGTGCGCGGATCGAGGCGTGTTTTGGCTTGCACCGGTATGTTCTTGGATGTCTGACACAAAGGGTTTCACACATCTGCTGATGCTTATCCCCTCTGCTTCATGCACTTCATGGCATCTTACTGACAAGATTGTGTAGATGATTGCCAATTTCTTCTTCGGCGTTGGATCGATGCTCATTTTCGGCATGGCAACGACCATGCTGACAGAGTTCATGCCCAAGAAATCCTCTGCAGGTGTCGCACTGAACAATTTTATGCGAAATATCTTCTCCTGCGTGGGCTCAGTTGTCACTGCCCCAATCATCGATGCCATTGGCAATGGATGGCTGTTCACCATTCTCGGACTGGTCGCGTTTGCAAGCAGCTCCGTCCTCTTCGTGATGAAAGTTTACGGGCCCCGATGGAGGAAATCAATGGATGCTCTGAGAACATGACGTCCTTTATGACCAGTCTCGGTCATTGGTACGCTGCGTTGGGTGCCAAACACTGTTACTTGGGTCTAGACACTATTGGTAAGTGTCGTGCTTTGTCATGATCATCATAGACGGTTGCTTAAACACCCTGTGGTACTAGGAGTAAGTCCGCGTCGATATGACAGGTGGAAGTGGCCTCGAATTCGCCAGAGAACGTTTACGTCTTGAGGATACCCAAGAGCATGGTTGTTTATTTTTAGACTTGATGAAGCCCAAGTGAGGCCAGATGCCTCCTGCTAGGCTGTGGCGAACGGCAGCTATCGCCTGGTTTGGAGGACAATAGAGCGCGGAGGTCGAGATCAATAGAATAGCCAAGTCAATAATTAATTGGATGAATTTGGGGTAGTGTCGAGTCTGAGCCTGTGCATTGTTTCATAATAGGTCCCATTGTCAATGTCACTGCCAACAGTGGTTACCCAAGCATGCGCAGACCAAGGCGAGTGTAGTAGATTCTGATAGCTCTCACGCTTCTAGTGATCCTATTCTAGCATCTTACACGGTGATTGGCAGCCAGAACTTCGACAGCACAGGCTGACCAGGTAAGCGCTCAAGCACAAAGTACGCGTATGGTTTAGACGGCAATTTCACCTGACGGGGCCACAGGTGGGGGATTTGCGGATGGAATGGACCAGCAATTCGCACCACCGGGACGAAGCGGAAACATGCATAAGCGGTACCACCAGGTGGATGGATTAAACATCAAGGCTATGGGCCAGGGATGGAGGTGGAATTCCAGCGGGGAGGCAGCCATATCCGGCCCGTTGCATGTTCCAGCGTGGGATGACACCGAAAGTATCGACTAGGGTTTCGGTGGTGGTCAGCAAATGGATTGCCGGAGACAAAAAGAAAGCACCCCATGATGGCAAAATTGTTAAACTTGCATAGAGAGAGAATGTCATTCTGTCGAACCTAATTGTGTGACCATCATCTCTTTGGGCGCCCGTCCGCTACGTGTAGATAGTAGTCTATACTGGGTACCTTACTATACGTACTTAGGTCAGATCTGCGGGCGATCTCGACCTGAACCTGACAGATTCACGCTGTGCTGGCAATAGAAAGATCTAGTAAATAAATGACACGCACATAACGATCTCGAGTATCTGGCTGAGTATTTGAGATGATGGGTTAAGGCAGTTGCGATGGCAATAGATAGATTGGGAGGGGGGTGTTGACGTGGAGGGTGTTTGTGCCAGAGGGAGAAGGCATCGGTGCTGGCTGATTGGGATGATTGGGAATTGGGGTTTGTATAGACCCGAGCGGGGGAGCCCATCAAAACACAACACTGTCTGCGCGAGCTGCAATGCTGGGCAGCTTGCCTGATGGGCAGGTAGCCAAGGGAGAAATGGAGGGTCTCGGAGGAATGGGGTTAGTTAGCATCACGATTTAGTGTGCTCCGTAGCTTGCAGCCATTTCCATTCACCTAATCACTAATGACGCCTCCTTCAACGGGCCTGGATGGGGGGCGTGCACTGGTAGCCACTCACCGGCTGCCAGAACAGCAATGCGCCTCACTTATCGGTGGATGCGACGAGTCCGGCTTCTTTTCTTGCCCACCGCCCATGATCTGGACCTTCCTCGGAATTATTGAATCAATCTCTCGATTATTACTCGGAAGTAATCGCGATGCGGATTTGGGATGACAGATCTTCCCATCGTGGATCGGGAAATTTTCATCGGGATTGGAGACACGATGGACGATTTTATTTTCGCCGCCCTTCTTCATGGTGCCTGAGAGGAATTGACCTCTTGTTGAATGAAATCATGAATAGTCAAGGCACTTGAAAATGATTCAAACTGAAACCCGATCGAAAGAAATTCCCACTATTCCTGGTTGGGCGGTCCAGTGATCTGCGGCTGCTGAATTGTCCGGTGGAGTTTCGAATCCGGCTTCACTTTCCCTCCCTCCCCTCTCTCTTTTCCTTTCCTCACCATTCCGCCAGGCGTTTGTTTTTCCATTGACCCTTCTGGCTTGCTTCGTTTTTGCTTCGATGGTTCTTCATCAGTACCAGAAGTACGAATTGACCAGGTTTCTGGAGATCTTCATCTCTCCCTCTCTCGCGACTAGCTTTCCCTCACCCCCCCCCCCCCCCCCGTCATCTCGGTGATGGGGAAGTGATGCTGTTGTCGATGATTGATCGCCTTTACCCACCGAACGGTGCACAGTCACAACAGTAATCCTTACCCATGGCCATAACATTCGCACCCTAGTTACACCCAACCACCCCTAGCTTTTTTCTTCCCTGACCAGGGACCTAGTCTCGCTACTCACGGACCATGCGTCTAATTTACTACTATTGCTGCACCAGCCGTTGGGCATGAATGATTATGATACTGGTGCTCCGGCTATGTTGATGAGGTACACTCGACAGGTCGGAGTAACCATGGGCAATGCCCTTTACACTTTCGATGGCTTTTTTTGTTCTCTCGCCTTTCATTATCCCGGATGCCGGCATGATTGGCTGTATTAGAATGCTCACTCATTGGGCCTAAGATCAATCATTTGACCTTGCATGCTCAAGGCGCAGGTCTCTATCGACCCCCCAATTGCTTTTTCCTCTCCCACTGGGTTTACGACCCCGTACAAAGTACTTGCAGAGCATTGGCTAATAACGATACTTTTGAACTATCTATGCAATACTTCTGCCCGCAAGAGGCCAAATAAACAAAAGGAATTGACACCAGATGGAGAAAAAAAAAATTAAATCACGAAAGCACTTTTGATGGAGCTGTGGCACCACCCCCACCACACTAATGACACACCCTACGGAGCACCCAATTCCCTATGGTGTTGCTATCCTATCTGGACCACAATTGCCCATCCACTCCCCGCCGCCACCTGCTTGCTAGTTGCGACTGCATGCTTCTGCTGCAGATGGTGCTCCGCCGGTTATCCCCTTGCCCCAGTGATGCTTCCGGAAGAGGACCCTCTTTCTATGTCCGTCCGGGAGGGCCATGGGGCCCGTGAGACGTGGCCCAATGATACGAGATGCCGTCGGGCAGTTCGTTCATGACGTCCCCAGCCCCAAGCCCGAGCCATTCCTGGACAGTGACCCATTGCACTGGATAGCGAATGCCCTACTATACGTCGCCTCGTCTTCGTCCTCGAAAAGGAACCACAATGTTGTTGGCGGACCATCGGGCCTATGCCCTTTTTGCCCTTTGCGCTTCCAACCTCTCATACCCCAGCGTTTGCTTAACCCAGCAATTACACAGCACCCCTCGTTTCGCATTCCTTTTTCTTGCGTTGCCCCTATCTTTGGGTTTTCTTCATTCGCCTTCCCCCCTGTCTTCTGCGCCTTGTCTAGACATTCGACAGGCATATGTCATATTTCCTTCAATAGATTTATATCCGCTTGTTACTCCCGTTTCACAAAGAGGTCATCAGAGACCCAAGAGACGCCACTGATCCGATGCCATGGGTAAAAAAGGAAACAACAAGAAAAAGAAGAACAACAACAACAATAATAAGCAAAGGCTCCCCGTAAACGACAATCAACTGTCCAAAGAGCAAACCCTTTCTCCCGATCCCACCCCAGAGGCACCCGTTGATGTCGGAGAAAATGGAGCAACGCCCGGTCCAGTATGCACAACTTCCCAAGTTTGAGTACCAGACTTTCGAGCGTCACTATCAGACCTTCGACCGTCAAACTTTTAGCTTTTCATATTACCCTGTCAATACTGCATCTACGGATCATCTGACGCCGCCTAAGGATCAGGACAATAACAACAACCCCGTCGAACCAGATAATGCCCCGGCCGCCGAGACTACCCCTACAGAAGGATCCGATAGTGCCCCCGCTGATGGCTCAACGTCTCCCGAGTCTGAAGGTATGTTGTACCTGCCTGTGATACTACCTTCTGGCCTGAAACACTTGTTATCATATCACCTCACGTGATTGTTATCATCCTTTGCTTCCTTGTACTAAGCTTCATCAGGTGCCACCGAAGCAACAACGCCACCACCAGAGGCTGAAGAGACCTCCAACGATACGACTGCTGAAACAAAAGAGGAAGGCGAGAGTCCCGCTCCAGAAGCAGACGAGTCCACCCCACCGCCGGAAGATAGTCCTCTCAGTGATCAACCTGTTGAGGATGCACCAAAGGACATAGAACCGGAACCAGTCGAAGCAGACGCTGCACCGGCGGATGTAGATGATACACCGCCCGAGGAGAACACTGAAGCCCCCAGCAATGGTATGCCTGATGTTGATCTCAGTTCCCAAAGTCAGCTGACCTTACACTTAGAGGATGACTTCATAGAATGTGACCCTACTGCAAAAGATGACAATGTCGAAGCCGAAAAAGGAGAAGCCGAACAACAAGCGGCTGAAGACGCCAAATCCGGGGATGAGGAAACGCCAGCGGAAGCAACGACGGCCGACTTGATCGACGTAGATAAGGACGGGGAGAACGCAACAGAACAGCCACCGGCAGACAGTAAAGAGGGCGAGGCTGAGCCCCCTGCTGAGCCCCCTACCAACGACGAGGGCACCGAAGCCAACAGCGGCGATGCATCGCCCGAAGAACCGGTCGCAGATGCGGAGGAGGCTCAAGAGCATGAGGCTGAAGCACAACCCGAGCCTGCGCCAGAACCCACGGAAACTCCTGTCGCCCCAGAAGGACAGGAGAATCAAACTCCAGAGGAACAACCTGGTCCCGACATCACAGAAACTGTGGATGAAGCACCAGCAGACGAGGGAACGCCAGATTCGACAGAAGATTTAGCGGCGGACAATGCCAACGTTGAACCCGAAGCGGAGCCAGCAAATGCAACTGAAGAGGCACCGGAAGAACCGGCCGCTGCGCCCGAAGAGTCACCTGAAGAGGCCGCACAGCCTGAAACAACCGATGAGGCCTCAGCAGAAGTTGACTCCGGCGAAGCGCCAGCCGAAGAGTCTACCGAAACACCTGTAGCTGAAGAAGATTCTGCTGAGACACCTACCGAGACACCCGCCGAGACACCTGCTGAGGAAGCCGCTGTCGTGGAAGAACCCGCCGGAGAAAGTGTTGCAGAAGGACCTCCGGCTGAAGAGCCCACCGCGGATGATACAACAGACGTACCGGCTGAGGAAACTACAGAAGCAGCAGAACCTGCATCAGAACCCGCCGCGGAGGAGGCAGCAAGCGAGGAGGTATCTCCTGAGGAAGCCACGACTTCGGAGTCAGTCGAAGAGCCTACCGATGAAACTCCAGCGGCAGCGGAGACTACTCCGGAAGCAGCAAGCGAGGATGAACCGGTAGATGTTCAAGAGCCAGCTGGCGAAAAGCCGACCGCGGAAGTAGTTGCAGAGGAGCCTCCCGCGGAGGCCGCAGCAGAAGAAGTCCCGGCCGCTGAGGCCGCAGTCGAAGAAGCGACTCCGAACGAAGATGCCGAGGGAGCCGCACCGGACTCCGAGGAGTCTCCTGCTGATCTCGCCGAGGATGCGCCAACAGAAGAGCTAGTTCATGTCGAAGAACCCGAGCAAGTAACAGAAGAAGCGGCCCCTGAAGAGACACCATCGACTGAGGAAGTGCCAGCAGAAGAGGGTGTCGGTGAAGTTCCTGAAGACGCTCCCGCCGAAGAGCCGGCCACAGAAGCGGTGCCCGAAGAATCCGCTCCTGCAGAAGAACCTATCGCTGAAGAACCTGCAGCCCCAGATGAGACACCTCCTGAACCTGCGCCTGAGACTGCCCCAGTTGAAGAGTCTGCTCCAGTAGAGGCCGCTGCTGAAGAGGAAGTTCCTGCTGAGGAGCCTATCGCCGACGAGCCCGCTGCTTCTGAAGAGCCCGCGATTGAGGAACCTGCTGCTGTTGTTGAACCTGAAGCCGAGGCTACCGTTGAAGAATCAGTACCGGCTGAGGATCCTGCACCCGTCGAAGAAGCTGTCGAGGTGCCCGCCACCGAGGAACCTGTTACCGTTGAAGAGCCAGCCGCCGCTGAGGAACCCGTCGCCGACGAGCCTGTCATTGAAGAGCCCGCTGCCGAAGAGCCTTCCCCTATCGAAGAGCCTGCCCCGGTGGAAGAAACTGTCGAGGAGCCCGCCGCCGAGGAGCCCGCACCAGCTGAAGAAGAGCAAATTTCGGTTGAAGAACCTGCTCCCGAGGAGAACACTGCCGCTGAAGAACAACCGCCGGCAGAAGAGTCTTCGTCTGTGGAAGAGGTTCCCGCTGAACGAGCTGTTGACGAACCCGCTCCAGTGGAAGAACCCGCTCTAGTAGATGAGCCTGCCGCAGAGCAAGAGCCTGAAGTAGAAGAAGCTACCCCTGCTGAAGAACCCGCTGTGGTCGAAGAACCTGCTACAGCGGAAGAGGCTATTCCTACTGCAGAAGAGCCTGCCCCGGTGGAGGAGCCTGAAGAACCTGCTCCAGCGGAAGAAGCTACTCCTGCTGTGGAAGAGCCTGCTACTGTAGAAGAGCCTGCCGCCGTGGAGGAACCTGCTGCTGCAGAAGAGCCCGTTGCGGAGGAGGCTGCTGTGGCAGTCGCCGCCCCGGCTGAAGAGCCTGCTGCCTTGGAAGAGCCCGCTCCTGCTGAAGAGCAGGCTGCCGCTGAAGACCCCGCTGCTGTTGAAGTACCCGCAGAAGATATAGCTCCTGCTGAGAGAGCCGTTTCTACCGAGCCATCAGAAGTCGCAGCACTCCCGCCGGAAGAACAAGGCGAAAGCGAAGGATATGAAGCAGATCCGAGCTCAGAGCCGTCAGAAGGAACCGAGGCTAATGGTTCTTCAAGAGGTGAGATTCTAGGCGGAGCCATAGCCGGGGCCACAGCCGCCGCCGCCGTCACCGCAGCTGTCCACCGTAAAGATTCACAAAGGAAGCACAGAAGATCACCCGACGCCGACTATGATCGGAAGGAGTCTAGGAGCTCTTCTGATGGTCATCGCTCACAAAGGCGAAAGGGTGAACGTATTAGTATCATGGGGCGATGGGCACAAGCTTTACAGGACTCCAAGAAGATGCACGAAGAGAAGCAGAAGCAAAAGATTCAGGTCATCGAGAAAGAGCGTCGCTCTTCGGACCGTGGAAGTGAGAGGGAAAAGGACAGGCAGCGGGAGCGTGACCGGGATCGCGACGAGCGGAAACGGGAACGGGAACGAGAGTACGAACGCCAACGTGAGCTCGAGCGTGAGCGCGAGCGCGAACAAAGACGGCAAGAACGCGCGCGCAGACAACAAGAACAAGAGCGTCTGCAACAAGAGCAAGAGCGCAAACAACAAGAGCAAGAGCGCAAACAACAAGAGCGTGAACGCAGACACCGAGAGCGCGAGCGCGAACAACGTGAACAACTTGAACGGGAGCGGGAGCGAGAACGCGCAAAGCGCTCTGAGCGAAGCGCAAGATCAAGGAACTTGGAACAATCCGAACGATCTTTGAGCGGAAAAGAGAGCGCACCCACCAGGTCACACCCACGGTCAGATCACTCTGGAAGCCAGGACCGCGAGCGCAAGAGCAGCTCTTCGTCGCGCCACACCCAGTCCACAGAACCCAAGCCTCGCTTCTTCCTGAAGTATATGGAGGGTCAGTCAGACACCAATGGTCCACTTCTGAAGATCAACGCTGCCAAGGCCTCCGCTAACGTCTACAAAGACCGTGAGAGAAGGTCCTCCTCCCACCAGAGTCAACGTCAATCGCAAGACGGCAAGAGCAGCAGTGAGCGCTCCAGTCGACCACGTCCCGAGGACGACGAAGAAGCTCGAGCTCGGCGTGAAGCTCGCAAAGAGCGCAAGAGGATGGAGATGGAGCAGGAAGCAAGGGCAAGGGAAGAACCCGAGCAACGTCGCCATCACCGTAGTAGCGGAGAACATCGCCATCGTCATCACAGACATCGACGTGAGCCGTCTCCACCACCCAGTGGACCTTCCAAGCTGAAGACTCTCTTGGGTGCGATTGCTGCCCACTGATGATAGCTTGCTTGGGAAACCAAACTTATTACCCTTGTGGTAATGCTGACCCTTCGCTTTCTTCCTTCCCCCTGTCAGTTCGATGTATTTATTTATATTCTGTTTTCTTTTGGCTAATTTTCTTTGCCATTTTTGCGCAGCAGATTCACAGCATGCATGCATCAGCGGGAATAGCATATGGTTCGGGGTGCTTGTGACCTTTTTATGAAAGCATTTTAGCCTATTTCGGTTCTATTCTCATGTATCTTACGTTTGATGTATGCTGTATGCAATTGATGATTGTGATGATTAATATGACTATCTTTTCTATACGTGGACTTATATTTTACTTCTAATGTTTTCTTCTCTTCTCCTTTGAAAAGTGCTATTGCTGCGATGAAGCGTATGAATATCAGCGGGAAGTTTCGGCATGTGTTCCTCTCATCTTATGGGATTCTAAGCGCGCTGTGGAATATCTCTGAATCAGATATAGTTAGGCTGCATTGGCACATTCTAGGATAAGTATCGTCTCAGCTCGTAACAATGAGGTTCTTAACCACCGGAGTAGGACTTCACAGGGCTGGAATCGCCATTCCATCACCTCTCAAATCGCTACCAGCACTGTACACCAGCTTCCCATCATTATAGTGACAACGAATGATTTGTCCACGGCCAAACATGCCTCTCTTCCATCCAGCCAGAACCTCGACCTGATGGCCCAGCTTCTTCAGGTCCTCAACCGCAGCATCGCTGACGCCTTCCTCAACATAAACTGTTCTGTCGATGGGCTTTCCATCATCGGCGGTCCCAGCGGAGATGCAGATTCGAGGGGAATCGAGCGCAGCTTGAGGGTGGTAGTTGAATGCAAGCATATTGAGGAGGACCTGGACGTGTCCTTGTGGTTGCATGAAGCCGCCCATCACACCATATACCGAGTGCAGAGATCCGTCGGAGACGTTGGTGATCAATGCGGGGATGATAGTGTGGTAGGGTCGCTTGCGCGGGGCCAGAGCGTTCGGATGCCCGGGGGTCAGCGAAAAGTTGGCACCCCGGTTTTGGAGGGTGAATCCGCATCCCTTTGGTATGATACATGTTCCGAATCCACCATAGTTGCTGTTGATGAAGGAGATACCGTTTCCTTCTTTGTCTGTCACTGCGAAGTATACCGTGTCACAGTGGTTGTGGGCTGGACTGCCATGGTCAAGGATATCGGATGCCTTGTCAGGGTTGAAGAGCTTGGCACGCTCCGCGAGGTATTCGCGGGATATAAGTTCCTTGCTTGGGACCTTTTCCACGTCGGGATCGGTGACCCACCAGGACGCATCGGCAAATGCAATGCGCAGGCTTTCGATGATTGCGTGTAGATATTCGGCGGAGTTGTGCTGTGCCTCGGTGAACTTTGGGATCTTTCCGGTGCGCTCTAGTTCCTCGAGAATACCCAAGGCCATAAGAGCCACGATACCCTGTCCGTTTGGTGGATGCTCCCATATCTCCACTCCCTGGTTAGCCTCGCCGGTTGTACCGGCGGCCTGCTTCTCTACGATATCCTGACCGGTGAATTTGAGGGAGATGGCTTCTGTTTCCTGGCTTCCGGTTTCGGCGTGGAATTTCAGGTCTTCCAGGGTGATATAGCCTCCCAGGTCCTGGACGACTTTGACAAGTTCTTCTGCAACACGTCCTTCGTAGAAGCCCTTCTTTCCCTCTGCGGCAAGCGCTCGGAATGTCTTAGCCAGTGTGGGGTTTTTCAGGATTTCTCCGGGGAGAGGGCTCCGAACACCGTTTTCAGCGTTCGGGTCAGCTTTGAGCATCTCATGGTAGTTTGGCGATGCTGCGCGAATCAGGTGCTCGCTTTCGTGCCACTATAGGGAGTCAGCTAGTTGTATAAGTCGGGCGAAGCGAAAGATGAGCTTACAAAGAAAGATGCCAGCTCCGAGACAGGGAAGCCTTCCTCACCAAGTTCGATAGCAGGACGCAAGATCTGCTCCAGAGAGAGTTTTCCACTACCGAACTTCTCCACAGTATCAACCCACCCTGCCGCTGCACCGGGAGTAGACACAGCGAGGACGCTGGTCATTGGTATTTTTCCAGACTCATCGGGACCAAGGTTCAGATCCTTCCTGACCTTTTCGAGGGTCGCATTGGCAGGATAGCGACCAGAGCCGTTCAGTGAATGGACTTTCTTCGTTTTGGCGTCATAGAAGAGACAGAACATGTCTCCACCGATGCCTGTGGATGAGGGTTCTGTAATATTCAATGCCGCAGCTAGTAGACACATTTCTCTTAGTTTCATCTCCTCTCAAAAGTCACTTATTGTACTGACCGACAGCTACAGCAGCATCCTTTTAACAAAATCAGCATTAAATTTCAGAAGATGGCGGGGTTCCTCCAGAACGTACGGCGGCATTGCCTCCTTCACTCAGGATTCTGTGGCCCGCGGCGGCCGCCAATGGCTGAGTACAGGTTACAATTCCTTTTGTGCTATGTACAGTACTTCTCCGACTGGCGAAAGGGACAAAATCGGGGTTGAGCCGAGAATAGACTGCTTTGGAGTTCAATGGCATCTTGATGGCGTGATCGGGTTGTGTCTGCGATGTGGGAGGGGGTCTCGCGGAGGAATGGGTTCAGCAGAATAGTCAAGTACAAGTATTAGAGAAGGAGGAAGAAACACAAGGCAAGAAGTATATTTGTCACTAAGGATCCGGCTAAGGGATACGATAGAGGCGATCAGTTATCCTCGGAAAATGCCCCGACTTCCCCGATAAGATAGAAATAATGACTCCAACTGCCTGGTGGGGTAAGATGAGTCTCGCCCCTCCTTTTGGCCGCCGTGGAGGGAGATGCTCGAGTCCATCCTTAGGCGTAGAGGTACCATCCACGGCCAATTGAGTTGATAAAACATAGTAGATGTATTACAGATTTCTGACTATAATGATGCCACCTTCATTCTCTTCATTGAGTCTAATATTGCAATAGAAAGTGGAAGAAGAGAGAAACTGAGCAAATGCGGAGGAGCGGAGAAGAGAGAGAGAGATGCACCTTCCCGAAGAGGAAAGGTGTGACACCTGACTGGCGGCCGACGCGTGACCCCAACAAGGCATGACGTTGGGAGAAGTTGATGCAACCAACATCGTTCCCGATCTATCTCTTCCACGAGGCATGTTGGATATGACTCGTCTGCCTCGAATATAATAAGGACCGCCCTGAAGGTTTCGGTTCCACGTTGGGATTCCCCATCTGACCCAGCAAAATCGCCCACGGGTTCTCGATCGCCGAGACGAACCACTCTGCTGTTGATCTTCAGGACCCGCGCCGAATACGGAGCGGAGCTGGATGTTTCCCTGCCGTATCATCCCACTGTAGCCTTCAACAGGCTTCTGGTGCTTCTTTGGACGTTTGATATACTTATAATAGCCCAACTAGACTGATCTGGCTTGCCTGTCTCACTTCTAGTGCTCAATTCTTGTTGCTCGTTCATTCAGGTTGCTGCCAGTTAGCAAGCCTCTTCGGAACCTGTGCATCTCTTTCCCCTCCGCCTGTGCCATAAATACTTCCCTCGAAACAGGATGGTGGTTTTCATTGACTTCGACGACGATGCGCTTAGCCCGCATCATATCTCGGGTCCCTCCAATCCCTTCCTACATCCCTACATAGAACCCAAAAAGCCTGGGTTATCCGAACTATTACCTGTCAAACCGGACGAGCCGCATCGTGCAGCGGATGTATCCGCGGACAGTGATCGCTCCGCAGACCCGTTACACAGCATTTCTCCCATCTCTAAAGCGCCACAACAAAATCCAAATCGGAATGCTTTCTCAGCTGCTCTGAGCTGCTATCCGTATGAGACACTTTGAACCAGGCCGCTCCAGTGTCTGGTTCGGTATGGTGTGCTGACTGCGGATACAGGATTATCAAGACAATTGCTCGCTCGGTGGATTTGAATACTCTACACGCCCTTTCACGAACATGTCGTCAATTCCACGCCAACCTCTCTCCCTATCGCCAGCAGCTGGTTAAGCAGACCTTGCGTTGTGAGAATGAGTATATCGAGACACTATCGGACATGTTGGACAGCGGAGCTTGCATTCCCGACAGCGTCAAGTCGGTTATGCGTTTGCTCAGCCAGAATGCCAGAAGCTCCGGACGCCTGACCAGTGGCAAGATTTCCAAATGCGCCCGAGATATGGTGGCCGAATGCCGTCGATGTTCCAAGGTTGTGTGCCGGGTGAGTCTGCTCCACCAAGCTCTGTGTCGTCCCATTCCAATACTGATACTGGTACCATGTAGAATTGCGTTATCAAGCCTCCATCCAGCCACATGCTCAGACACCGCATTCGTCGTCTCTGCACCACTTGTCGCACGGCCCCTCTGAATGAGCTTATCGAGCAACCCTACGAACATGCTCATCCACAGAACATCTACACACATGCGCCTTCTCATCCTCCTCGGTCCATAATCTCGGCATTCCAACGTACGCCTTGCTCCTGCGATGATGCTATATGGCTTTGTCATCAATGCGGACATCAAGTACGCAGCAGCGATACAACCTACCGACGGGTATGGACATGGCGCACCCGTTATAGTACCTATCTTGGCGGCCTCGGCACTGGGATTGGAGAAGGCTGCCAAGGCGTCAAGTGTGGTCGCGGAGAGGATTGCCTCGCAGCCCAAGAGATTGAGCTTGAGGTAGAATGCGAAGCGGACGAAGCTTCAGGGAGCCCCCCTGACTATGGCCGCTACTACGAGCATCGCCACAGCCAGAGTCCTCCACGGCATCACAACCACTCCCATGACGACTGGGAGCATCGTGAGGAAGAAGAGCCGGGTTACTTTCGACAGGAGATTATCGGCATCGGAGGCCGCGTCAAACACAAGGCGAAAAAACGAGTCACGGTGGGTGCTTGCGTAGTAGAGCATGAAGATGAGCGTGAAACAGGCGAGTATCTTACTAGAGAGGAGCGGGGACAGCATCGAAGCTGGTGCGGATGGTGTTGGCGAGTCATTCCGGCCAGAGATGAGCTGTGGAACGTTAGATGACATTACGACCGTTAGCTAGATGAAGTAATTGCCACGGGCTTATGTAGCGAACTTGTCTGGTGGGCGAACATAGGATATGAAATCCTGGATATTATTGGACTTTTGGCTGGAACTCAGTGTCCTCCGGTTTGTTGAACTGAGATAGTTTCATGGCTTGATAGACATGCCTAGCAACAGTCACTAGTCGATCATTCCTGAAATTATGAATGTCAGCATCGCCCAGATTATTCTGAGCAGAGTATCTTTACCAGTGCCTTCGTCAAGAATTCCATGTAGTACTCAGTGAAAGACTTACCAGCAATGCAGAGCCTTCTAAGAAGCCCCGTTAATTCCAATTCGTCAAACCAAGTTAGTTATCTAACTAAAATATTGTATCAGGAACATTATCAGAGTAACTACCAGAAGAATTATCGAGAGAATTATGAGAAAAGTTACCAGGCATAAGGTGTAGAATAGATAGGTCTTGCAGCAAGAAGTGAAGTCTATACTAGTATACAAAAAAAGTGTTCTATAAGGAAAAGAGCAGCACATTGTACAAGGTTGCATAGGAAAGAACCAGTAAAAACAAAAAGAAAAAATCATTGGCTCAAATAAAACATCAAGACAGAACAAAAAAGAAACCATCAAGCTAGCATAACTCAATAAGTATAACATGACATATGGACAATCAGTGCACGTTGCGAAATAAGAAAGCCACACAACATGGGTATATAATCAATCATAAAGACCCCAAATGGACGCCATCCAGTAGCCGGGTAGCCAAATTGCAGACCAGGGCTTTTTTCTCCAGAACAAAGGAAATATGTGCAGATAGACAAAGGAAACGATAACAAGGATTGATAAACAGATCAATAACGGGATGAGGCCACCCTTTTCTTTGGTGGCTCGTTCCCATGGCCTCATGGGCCTGGTAATGCCAACGTCAATGCATGGCGGCATTAATGTCGTATTATGGTTCATTTGAACGGTGCGAGACCGGCTTGACGGTGATGCTGCGTGGTTCTCTTCTTCTCGTACAATCGCATTATTCCCGGTCCGCACAGATTAGGAGTACCAGAGATATGCATACATATCACTGCGTGTCGTCCAAAGGGAGGGCGAGTATTAGCGTATCAGTCGTATTGGAACATGGCTCATAAGCCCTAATTAGGCACCGGCCTGTCGTCGGTGGTGAAAGATGAGGATTATCACCGCCTGTTGGCTTTGTTGTTGCTCATATCGCCCATGACTTCCAGTTCATTGCGGGTGGGTATGAAGCGGGAGGGAGGACGTGTTCGTCGTAGGTCAGGCTTGGGCTCGCTGACCAGCTGGGCGATGGATAGGGGCAGTGGATAGACTGCAATGGGAAATTAGCGATGATATTATGGTGGATGTCTCTCAGATTGACATACCGGATGAAGGAGGCTTTCGGTGAGAGGAAGGGGCATCATGCTTAGGGACGGGAGGCTGGTGTCTGGCTGTTCCCAGCAGCGCATATTCGACTGCATGGACATTGGCGAGGAAGTCAGGTCGGGTTCCATGAGGCTCTCGGGATACGGCTCAGCGACCGTAACCGGTGTGGAGACGACAGACGAACGGGAGTGAGAGTGCACTGATAGGGAAGTGCCATCCGAGAGAGGAGATGGACACGTTTCCGGGGTAGCGTAGTACCGACTGTCTTCTACGGACTCGTGAATCTGATGGGGGCCTTGGTACAAAGGAGTCTGGTGTCCAGATGTAATTTCGACACTATTCCACATCAAGCCGCAGTCATTGGAGAGGTCTGGGTGGATGGCAGGCGCCACGAGGGCACCAACCGACATGGCATTGTGTGGTTGGGTGACGGCCAGGTACGGTGTTTGAGTTGAGGGCATAGACGTGGTGGCAGAGACATAAGGCTCAGAGATGATGGGAGTCCGGCTCTGCTGGTGCCATTGGGCAGTCCTGTCCATCTGTGCTTCCAATTCGCTGAAGGTAATCGTCAGTAAAGGTGACAAGCAAGCCTTTGTGGCAGGAAGTACTTACTGTCTTTCCATGTGACGGGCGAGAAGGTCAGGGCGATGGAATGCCTTTTTGCAGTGGCTGTGGGTACAGCGGAATAGGGCTTCAGGGTTGTGGTTCAGCTCATGGCGTCTGTAAGATTTTTGTTAGCATACCAATAAGGCAAGATTATTGCGACACAAGTGCAACGGCTTACCTTCGGTGCTCGGCTCTGGTGAAGACCTGAATTGAAGGGTCAGCTTGTGTCCAAATCTGTGAGACAGCAACCTCGTGGTACCAACCTTGTTGCAGCCTGGGTATTCGCAAGCATGCACACGCTTTCCCTTCTTCGCTTTGCTGATGCGATGCGTAGTTGGAGTGTAGGTGATGGGGAGAGGGATCTCCGATTGAGTAGTGCTTCGACGCATTGTTCAAGTTTGTCTGCCTGCTTGGTGTGTCTGATGGTGCTGTAGAAGGTATCGGATGTTGTTGTAGCAGGAGTAGGATTGGTAGTAGTAGTTGTAGTTGTTTGAGGTTTGAGTTGTTGGAGTCTGAAGGATGAAGAGGCAGGAAGAGGCTTTGATCTTATAGAGTTGGTTGTGATGGAGTGAGGATAGACAGGATTGAGATTGGCGAGTGAGCGATTGATATAGGATTTGGTTCCTGAAGGAGGCTATCCCCTGATCATTCTGTAACAGACCCAGAACTTGTCAGGAACGGGATAGACATGTGGTAAGTGTGG